GCCTGTTCCCAACAGCAGCCAGTTTGTCTTCCATATTTTTATTCAGAGGCTAAAGAACGCCACTGTGACGACGGGGATTAGTAACGATGAGCAGTCGGTGCCGCCACCATCACCTCGACCAACCATCCATCACAAATTAGGCATTACCACTACCAACACCAACTACGCACCACCGCCACCAAAACCACCCAACGTCATTGCCACCTTATTGCCACTAGACCATTGCCTCACCAACAACCATCACCTCCACCTCCACCTCTACCTCCACATCAAGCACACCACCACTACCACTACCACTACCACTACCTCCACCTCCACATCCAACACACCATACCTCACCACCATCGCACAACCAGAAATGCAGTGTCACCACCACGACCACCTGCACCACCACACCACATCACCACCATCACTACCGCGTAGATTTACGACTACGTACATCGTGCCACCTGCACCAGCACTATCGTACCACTAGCAATGGACCACCACCAATACAGATCTTACACTACCAGTCACCATTAACACATAATTTGTCACAATAACTCACAATCGGTCACAATTAGCATAGAATTGGTCACAACTGGTCACAATAAACAAATATTTGATCACAAATGGTCACCACAAACAAATCCGCTTACACTACGAACAAGTATCACAATCCACCACCAGTCATTACCACCATCACCTCCAACATACCACCACTACCACCTTCAACTCAAATTTATAATATAAAAACTGATGACGAGAAAACAGACAAAATGCTTGACAATAAAGAAGTAATTAATGAGAATGAATTCCTGTAGAAGTAACTTTTCTGTTGAAATTATTCAATAAGAACAAGAAATTAATCATGACAACATTGTAACAGTAATAATTAATCCAAGAAACTGATTTCTTTAATAGGAATAAGTAATCAATCACTTTTCAGATCCACGAATCGAAAAGATTTGTTGAGGTTCACATCAAGCAAAGGCAGGAGTTCATCGAGAGAATCCAGAGGCTGAAGAAGCCTGTTCCCAACAGCAGCCAGTTTGTCTTCCATATTTTTATTCAGAGGCTAAAGAACGCCACTGTGACGACGGGGATTAGTAACGATGAGCAGTCGGTGCCGCCACCATCACCTCGACCAACCATCCATCACAAATTAGGCATTACCACTACCAACACCAACTACGCACCACCGCCACCAAAACCACCCAACGTCATTGCCACCTTATTGCCACTAGACCATTGCCTCACCAACAACCATCACCTCCACCTCCACCTCTACCTCCACATCAAGCACACCACCACTACCACTACCACTACCACTACCTCCACCTCCACATCCAACACACCATACCTCACCACCATCGCACAACCAGAAATGCAGTGTCACCACCACGACCACCTGCACCACCACACCACATCACCACCATCACTACCGCGTAGATTTACGACTACGTACATCGTGCCACCTGCACCAGCACTATCGTACCACTAGCAATGGACCACCACCAATACAGATCTTACACTACCAGTCACCATTAACACATAATTTGTCACAATAACTCACAATCGGTCACAATTAGCATAGAATTGGTCACAACTGGTCACAATAAACAAATATTTGATCACAAATGGTCACCACAAACAAATCCGCTTACACTACGAACAAGTATCACAATCCACCACCAGTCATTACCACCATCACCTCCAACATACCACCACTACCACCTTCAACTCAAATTTATAATATAAAAACTGATGACGAGAAAACAGACAAAATGCTTGACAATAAAGAAGTAATTAATGAGAATGAATTCCTGTAGAAGTAACTTTTCTGTTGAAATTATTCAATAAGAACAAGAAATTAATCATGACAACATTGTAACAGTAATAATTAATCCAAGAAACTGATTTCTTTAATAGGAATAAGTAATCAATCACTTTTCAGATCCACGAATCGAAAAGATTTGTTGAGGTTCACATCAAGCAAAGGCAGGAGTTCATCGAGAGAATCCAGAGGCTGAAGAAGCCTGTTCCCAACAGCAGCCAGTTTGTCTTCCATATTTTTATTCAGAGGCTAAAGAACGCCACTGTGACGACGGGGATTAGTAACGATGAGCAGTCGGTGCCGCCACCATCACCTCGACCAACCATCCATCACAAATTAGGCATTACCACTACCAACACCAACTACGCACCACCGCCACCAAAACCACCCAACGTCATTGCCACCTTATTGCCACTAGACCATTGCCTCACCAACAACCATCACCTCCACCTCCACCTCTACCTCCACATCAAGCACACCACCACTACCACTACCACTACCACTACCTCCACCTCCACATCCAACACACCATACCTCACCACCATCGCACAACCAGAAATGCAGTGTCACCACCACGACCACCTGCACCACCACACCACATCACCACCATCACTACCGCGTAGATTTACGACTACGTACATCGTGCCACCTGCACCAGCACTATCGTAACACTAGCAATGGACAACCACCAATACAGATCTTACACTACCATCACCACTGCTATGTAGATCTGCGACACACCACCACACAATCATCGCACTATAATCGATTTCTTGTCTCCACCACCGCAGTAGCGGAAGGAGATTTCAGCCACATCCGCCATCCCAACAGCCCCCGCTATAGCTCCATCTCTACCCCCAGCCACCACTTCATCTCTGGCACTCTACCACCAGCCACCATTGATTGTGGCTAAAGTTGGGTGGGTACAACAAGACTTATTGAGAGAGAACATAGAGAGTGAGTGAGAGAGAGAAAACATGTGATTTAGGGATTTCAAAATCGGGGGGTGGGTTGGGTTGTATATAAATTAATTTTTAGTTTTATAATATTAATTAATAATCATATTTACCACCTAATTTTTGAATTGTAAAACTTTATCTCTTATTTTTGAATTGTAATCTTGAAAAGAAGGGTTTTAGATAATTTTCTTTTAGTATAATGCTACCCAGACGTGGCAAAAACCAGGCCGAAAAATGGGGGCTGAGGCTGTTTTTGGGTCGGTTTCCCACCCTGTTTGATTGGCAGGGTGCATAATGTTATTTGTAGTTGTCCTACTTGCATTCTATGTGTCAACTTGTTATTTGATGTATTAATTTTTTGTAATTTTATTACTTCAAATAACAAATTAATGCTTCAATAACAAATTGACACATATAATGACTAATACAGAAGTCGACCTGCATCATTTCTATATTTAACACAATTCGTCCTTATAAGCAGACCCTAAAGTCTAGCTTCATCCGACATCTAATGAGGCGCCTTTGTTGGCCTACCTCCCATGATTCAAGGCTCCCAACTTGTAGTAGCTTGGGTGTTTAAATCCTCTACCAATCTCTGAGGCTTTGACGTTCCTTGGCTAGGCTCATCTACGATCGGCCTTGACTTGCTCCTAAGGTAATAGGTTCGAAAGGCAAAAAGGGAAAATTTTGTGAGACTTTGCTGGGGAAACGATTTGATTATTCCGATCATTCCATTATAGTCGTGGTCAAATGTGTGCGTTCATGAGTCCATGCTAAAGTTTCAATCTCAAACCCATTGTCAAATCGTACTCAACAGAATATGGAGGTACTTATGGTAGAACGGGCCAATAGGTTCGGCTCATTTATCTACACAATGGACCCCTTCTCCCATTTGTGTGGATCGTATTTTTCATTTGGTTGGATAAATCATTTACAAAAGAGAAGTATCTAAAAGTGGTATGCATGAAAATTAGGAAAGTTTCTACATTTAGTTAGGTCGCCAAGTCTCCAAACTCTCCAAATCACACTATTCATTGTCCAATATCAATTCTTATAAACCCTAACTCGTTGGTGTCAATAAAGAAAATTATTGACGCGAGCATACTAGGGTTTATAGGAATTGGAACTCGAGAACGAAGAGTGCAATTTGTAAAGTTTTGGGATAATGGAATTTATATGCGGTTAAAGGGGTTAACATTGTCAATGGCTATGCATGATCAATACTTTTGAGTTGTTAACGACTCATTAAATCAGGTATAGATGGAAAATACATTTTGATAGATCGAGTATGAATTAGGAATAATACAAAGTTTGGATACTTGTATAAAACGCTGGAATAAATTTAATATGGATGTAAAACATATTTGAAGGTTTGAGAGAATTGTGAATAAAAAAGAAAGTTTGGGTACTTGTAAGCAACTTAATAATAAAACACGAACACACTAAATATAACCTAGTTAATTATTTTGAAAGTAAGATAATAGCTAGTTTTTTAAAAAATGTTTTTAAGTTATCTAAATTCAAAATTATAGTCAACGATTGCAATAGTCACTTTATGTGTCAGTTTGTTATAAAAGATATTAGTTCGTTACTTGATACAACAAAATTACAGAAAATTAATGTTTCAAGTAACAAACTTCTACGTAGGATGTCATATAAAGGCAGCGACTACTGTAATAGTCAATAACATTATTCTTATTTGATCATTTTTTTCCAAGTTCATACCCGAGTCAGATGTATGAAGTTTTTATACACGGTCCATGAGTTGACATTTAGAACCGTTTGAGCCTCGTTTTTATTGTAGAATATAATTTGAAATAGTAGATTGATGAATAATGTATGATTAAAAAGTAAAAAAAAATTGAATTTGTTTGTAATATTATTTTATTGCAAATTGTGTGGTTGAAAAGAATAAAAGAAAAAAATATATTTTAAAAATAATAGAGATCAAACAAGAGTTTAATGGTTAAACAACTTCAACTTGGCATTTAGTCTTTCCCACGAAGAAAAATCATGCAGTGTTCCAACGACTATTCTATTCCATTTTGTACTCTATTGCAAGTTGCAACCTTTTCTCATGCCAACTATTTAGCTTCTCAAGTGTATATGCACGTGGACCGACAGCCTATGGAAACCAAAATTACGTTCCCAGAATGAAATTTCACGTTTTAGTTTTTATTTTAGTCATTCTCGTTATTTTCAAAGTATATTTTTCTCTCTCTATTTTTCAATTAAACATTTTTTAATATAATAATATTATACGTAAATTCAATTTTTTTTCAACAACAAATTCTCCATCAATCTACTATTCCAAAATGTATTTTTAAAAAAATGGCTCAAACAGGCTCTTCATATTATTTTCTTTTTTAATAATTAAAATACAATGTCAAGTCATCTAAGAATTAATATTTGAAGGGTTTTAAATAATAAATATGTTAATCTAGAAAAATTAAATGTTAAATTCTATACTTTGTTGACGGGGAAAAAATTACAAGTCAGCCATTAAGTATTGGGCAATTCAATTTTCAGGTTTTAAATTTCAAAATCCAAAACTTAGATATTAATTAATTAGTTTAAAATATTTTATTAATTAAATATATTAAGATCACAATTATACAATTAACAATCACACCACACGTGCATATTTATAGGTCACCACTTATTTGTTGGTCACAATAAAAAAACTTGATAGGCCACAAATAAAAGAAATTTATAAGTCATAGCTTTTTTGTCGGTTACAAAATTTCAAATTAATTGATCATAAATTATTTTTCGATCACCACCAACACTATCATCACCACCACTACGGTCACTTACGACCACCACCACGCCTACTAGTGCCACCATCACCAAATAGCCCCACCGCAAACAACACAGTCATAGACACATCCTCAACAACTCACCACCACCACCAGCCATTTCACTTTCGACAGTGAACTGATAGCAGTGACTCGAACTGAGCGCCAGACAAAGATTTGAGCGTCGGCTTTGGGCGAAATATTGTTCAGATCTAAGATCATCGGCACAATTTTGGCTTCAGATCTCAGATGCAATATAGGAGCCTGAGGCTGCGACGACAAATCGCCACGTAGAACCTACCCTTAACCTTCGCGACGTCGCTTTCCGTCGAAGAACCTATAGAGGCGCATGGTTGCAACTGTGCGAGGTGACGTTGCGCCTTCGATGTCGCAATGTGATGGTGGTGTTGGGGAAAAGGGTGGATGGCTGTGGTGAAATGGGTTTGGGGTGGAGGGGGGAGTGGTGGTGAAAGAGAAATGAGTTTATGGTATATGACGGCGACGAGGGAAATAATTTAGGGTTTGTATTGGGGTTGGGATGGGTAAATTTTATAATATTATTAATAATTTAATTAATATCTAATTTTTGATTAAATAAACATCACAACTGATTTTTGAATTGGAAAACTTAAAACACTTATCTATATGTAATTTTCTCACGTTTAAATCCAAGCCCAATTTTTTGTGTATTTTTTTTTATTATTATTATTTTTTTATGTAGTAGACTAGTAGTCCAATACAAAAAATCTTTGTTCTCCCTTGATTTCGTCCGTCTAGTTTGAACAGTGTTTGAAACATGCTTCAAATGACATTTTTATTTTTCGATTCAAGTAAAGACCGCCAACGGTGGAATCAAAGATTTTTCACTGTTCAAATTCCATTTCACTTGCGACTAAACCAACGGCGAAAAAGTGCAGACCAACAAAAGTCCATTGGAAGCTACCATCCTGTGCCACTTGTCCGGCTTAGAACATCCCTGGACCCACACGTTGACAGAAGGGAAAAATGGACACATGTTTTAATCAAACGTAGAATTGATGAAAATTCTATGCATCCCCTCCAAGAAAGCAGCGACAGGTGACAATTTCAGCAATATGCCACGAATCTTCTTCAAATTCATCTATATAACCACGTAAAAAGGCCCTACCTCCTAAAACCCATAATTCATTTTACCAAAACTCAAAAGGCCGGGCCAAATTGAAATCTTGAACCACCACCAATGGCATCCACTAGAGTTCTAAGAATTTCTAGACCTTTAGGTCTAGGCTCGCCTCGTTTTTCGAGTTCTGCGTGTTCATCAATGGTGTCAAGGTCTATGGCACAAATGTGTTTAAGCAAAGCAGGATTGAGTTCGAAAAATATGTCAACTGGTGGTGGTGGTGATGAGAATAAGACGGCGGTGAAGGCCATTGGCGGCTCGGCTTGTGTGGTGATATCAGAACCGAAGACGGATAAAGGGGTGGATTTGGCTTTGTTAACAGCAAATGCTTCAGATGTAATTTTGCAGTGGTGGATTATGATTACTAAACAAAGGCCATGGAAATTCAATATCCAGATGTTCATTGAAAAGGTAAAACAAGAATCTTGGAATTCTACACTAATTGTTCTGAGAAACTATGAATTTTCATTGAATCTTGTTTTTCAGGCTATAGTTGACTGCAGATTCTTTACATTGTTTGCAATTGGAGGATCTTTGCTTGGTTCAATATTGTGTTTTGTTGAGGTAATTGAGTAGACCTTATTCATGAAGATATAGATTATAATTTCTTTTGAATTTGAATCATTAGCAGAAAAATATGTTGTCTATACAGTTGACAAATTTCAACAATTTTCTTCCTTAATACTGTCTAGTACTGTATTCTATCGTACCAAATGGTTTATAAAAGTACTAAATACGATGAAAATGTCTTTGCAGGGTTGTTTCTTGATACTACAATCATATTTACAATATTTTCGCGCAGTCTCACATACGATGCAGCAAGGACATGTTGTACAGCTACTAATCGAAGCTATTGGTATACCATTCCTTTTCAATTTCGATTTTACTTCTTACACATCATTTTGGATTATTTTTTGTAGGTGAAATGTTAGTGTAACAATCTAATATTTGATGACTCAATTGGTTGCAGATGTGTTCCTAGTCGGAACAGCAATGCTTATTTTCGGAATTTCTTTATACGTCATGTTTGTGGGTACGAACAATCTCAAAGGCAAAGGATCACAGCATCAAAGGCCGAGCTTGTTTGGCAATTTCAATGTCGAGGTATTTGATGTTGTGGATTATTTAACTCTTATTTGACCCTCATATTCTAAAACTCATTTTCAACCACATATTCTTCAAATTAAATAATTTTACAGGTGAAATCATAATTCTTACCTACTTTTTAACCACACTCTTCAAAAAATCATTTCACGTCATCTATTATCAAAAAATCTCTACCAAATAGGAGTTTAGTTTCTTGTTTTTCATCCCCGTAGAAAATATATGTATTAGAATGTTGTGGTTTTCAAATTTTACACGTTTTCCTTTCAGACAATTCCATCACGGGTAGGAATACAGTCTGTTATGCAAGCAAAGTCGAAAATGGGGCATGCGGTGATAATGATACTTCTAGTGGAGGTGTTGGAGAAATTCAAGAGTATACCTGTGGTTACTGGTTGGGATCTTGCTTGTTTTGCTGCAGCCATATTTGTTTCTTCCGCTTCTATATTTCTTCTTTCCAGACTTGCAGTTGCTGGCACTGATACCGGTAAATAGTCGAGGATTTTATCAGAAATTCGTTCCCATAGAACAACAAAGCAGTTTTGCAGCCAGTGCATGCAGACGAGCCCTCCTGAATTTGTATATTTTTTTAAGTAACTTTAATAATCAAGCTAGATAAATACAGAATATCAAAACATCTATTAGGTTGTTATAGGCATTTTTTTTTTCTTTATTTTTTGGTTGCTTATTTTCTATGTTCGGATTCATGTTGTCAAAACTAAAGCGCCACAGATGAATATCGCATCCTTCATATATAGAATATATATACCTATATTATATGTTTCATGTCCATTGTAGTTAAATATATAGGCTAATTCTTGCGGTTCTAACGAGTGTTTTTAGTACATAATACCGTATAGAATAATAAAAGAAGATTTAAAGTTTATCTTCTTTAATCATGTCCAACACTACAGGGTCCAATGTAATGAAACAATGGGACATGTAAGCATCCAACAAAAGAGTCAAAATTAGGCAATCCAAGTTACCTGAGGCAACCCACAGCATAATAAACACTTCTCATTACACTAACAAAATCCCTTACTCCATCTTACCCAACAAATATGCTTAAAGAAGATCAAAAGAAAACAACTGAAAGCAGGTGACATGATTTCCATAATGCATTTATAATCCTTCATAATCAACCAATGGAACTCCGAAAGCTGACTAATATTAGCAACAAATAAGTAGATTTTAGTGATGCACAGATCTGTCGATATATTTTCCCTCAGATAAAAGTGGCCTTTGAATGACTCATATTTGGGACTCGGAAAAAAAAAGGAACTTGAGAGACAACTCTACTATCTAAAACTGCTACTGCCGAGTTTACAAGAGGAACTCCTCTACATGGATGCCAAAAGATCCCTCATTTCTGAGACAGATGGGATGGTCTTGCCTGGGTAAATTTTTGCTACAAGTTGTGCAAAACTGTCGTACTTGTCAAGGAACTCCTTCTGCCAATAGTTTACATAACATGATTTAGGATTGGACTAATACCAAAATCATATGCCCATATTCAATATTCAGAAATTTTAAAATTAAACTGAAGAAATAAAAATTCGAAAAAGAAGTATGTAGAGTAACATCCGAGATGAGCTCTGTTGTCCCCATTTTGCTGTCTCCCTAATAAATTTTTGACACCTTTGGAGTTCAACTCTTATTAGCAAATGGGAGGACGCCAACACTAACCCTACAAATGACATCAACTTTGAAATGACTTATTCCCATTTCCTAATAAGAGCTTAACCACCAAGGTGTCAAAATTTAGTGGAGAACGGCCAATGTAACATCATAATAAGAAAACAAATCTCATCTCAACAAACATCCCCAACAAGTGATATACAGCCTAATAATGGGAGATACCATTTGAAAGCTATGAAATACGGACACGGATATGACACAATTCAGACACACTGGCATGTGATCAAGATTGTAGGACGTGCACACATCAGGGACACTTTCCTTAAAATAGTTTTGTTATAAAATAGAATAGTCCTTGAATTCTTGGAGGAAGATGAACAATTTTTGAGTCTTTTACACTACACTATCCCCCACTTAAATTTTGACATCTCGTCACATTTTTGAATATCAAAAATTTAGTGGGACATATTTTAGCATGTTATATATATATCCCACACTTCTTTGGTGGTAAGTAATGTCTTTTACACATTTAAAATTGCTAGAAAGCTTTTTCAAATTCAACAATTTTATTTTCTTCTGCTAAAATATTAATTTACATACAAAAAAGGAAGAAAATCCCATAATTTTAAAACTAATTCCAAGGACTTGGACATAGTTGATAAAAAGGGTAAATGTCAAAATGAAAGCATGGTGGCTTAACATGCACAAAAAACATTATCCAAAATAAAGCATACTGTAGAAAGGAAAAAACAGAAAAAAGAAACTTTCATTTTCGAAACCTCTAGAAAAGAACACATTGTTCAATTGTATAAAAATAACATAATCATGTTTTAGTATAAAAAGAGAAAAACATTATTTTCCTCTAAAGCATATACAAAGCTGAAAAAGTAGATGCTGAAAAAAGTAGACGACGTTGTCAATTCCCATTTTATCCTTATTTTCATTTTTCATTTAGCCTATGTTCGGCCCCTATTTTTACAAAAACTCATTTTTTCAAAACTCATTTTCTCCCATAAAATAATTTCACACGAACCGAAAAGTTATTCTTCTTTTTTAACCATACATTCTCCAAAAAATCACTATTCCAAAATACATTTTCTAACCAAAATGGGCCTCAAACGGGGGATTATACCTGTTATCCAACCTCTTGTGGTATATGTGATAAATTGATAATACCAAACATTTTGGCAGAGATCAAAAGTTTTGCCAGATTTTGAGTATTAGCATAGGATAGTGGCATTGTGTTATCATGGTTTAAGGTTTCACCCTCCTATCATATAGTTATAATCAGTGAAATAAGGTGCTTAGTCATGCAATTTGTCGATTGACAACCATATTTGCCAGATAATTTGCAACCTTAATAAGGTGTACAGCCTCTAACAGGCATATACCTTGCATTTCTCCCATAATGAAGGCAACAGCTCCTCTGAGGCTAAATTCTTCTGCAATTTCTTATACATTGTACTGATGGACTTGTCAACCTAAAAAGTTAAAATATGCTTTGATAAAATATCTCTCAATGAAGATGCCATATTCTGAAGGTAAAAAATTGACATACCCCAGATAAGCTTGATTTTACAACCTTCTGCAGATCCACTTTTGAGACTCCCATCTGGTAAGGGATCTGAAAGTTTCAAGATTTATGTCACTACCACGGATAACTTTAGTTAAACATTTGAAACAAAAAGTGTCCATGATGCAGAAATGATGACTTAAGACTTAAGCTCGTATGCATCTCAACCTATGCACTCGAGCAAAATATGTGTAATAAATAATTGTTCAAACCTGCTTGTGAGGCCACAAAGTAAGCTGATTTTGACAGTGGGTTCATGGTGTTGCTAATTGGTCTTTTGCTAATTTTTTTCTAATCTGCTTTTCAGAATATAGGATTATTATTAACCAACCCCTCCAGAGTAATTAAATTATGGTAATATCTTCAATCATGGAATCTTGAGAAAATATCATATAAAACTTTTTCTCTAAGTATATTTCGATGGGAAATTTTACAGATGATACCATGTATAAAGGGTGATTTAACACTTCATGTACCATAATTTGACAAATGAGAATAAAACACACACACACAAATTATAGGGTGTGTGTGTGTGCGTGTGTGTATGTGAGAGAGAGAGAGAGAGAGAGAGAGAGATTACAGGTCATATACCGTGTTGTTCACTTGCTACTATTTCATAGTGTAAAAATCAGATATTTTGTCAAATTTTAAACGAAGAAAAAATTAAAAAGAAATTACTGAACATCTTTTATATAGAGTGATTTTACACACACATTGTGATAATAATATCATGTCACACTTTACATGCCAGAATTTTAAAATTAAGATCTTGAACACAAATTTCTATAGCACTTTTTTCTTCAATTTAAATATGATGTTTGATCTCATGAATTAACAAAAAGAAACTTAATCACGTCTCTAGGTCACATTTCAAAATTGATGAGAGATATCCCTTTTTTTTTTTTTTGCTTATGTTATTGTTGACATTTCTATAATAAAAAATGAACTTGAATTACATGATTTATAAAATAGACATTTTTATTGCGTGAAGTTCACAAGATCAAATCAAAGATCTAAAATTTTCAAATAATGGCCAAAGTGTTACAATATGTTATGTACATGGTATGATTTGTAATTACAACGTAAATATATTTTTCTATTTATCTTATATAGACTTAATGGAATATATTATTTTTTACGAAATACTAGTATGTATAGTCCAATTTTTGGAGAACCTAGTGTAATTACATTGCGTATATTGAGTGTGTGTGTAAAGTTTCCTTCTGAAAATTACATTTACATACTATTATTAATAGATGTTAGAAAACTTGAATGGACATTAAGAAATGTAAGCATTTTGGGCTCAGTTTAAGGACACTTCTTCACGAAATATACTAATTACCTCTACCTAGTTCTATTTTCTGTTTATGTTTGACTCGAAATCCTTTGGTAACTGAAGTTCTCATAACTAAAGATGGTAAAGTGGTAACTAATAAAAGGTTATTTTGTGATAGTTTAAATTGAATGATGTTAATTTTGCTCCTCTGCTATGGAGATTTGGTTGAGTTATGAAAGATGATAATTTATGTGGCTATGAGTTATGTACTGTTTGCAGCCTTTTTTTTTTAATTACTTTGGCATGTTGAATTTAAAACCGACTCCCAAATTATGGAATGTGAAATATTACGGGGACATAAATATACAGCGTTTGATTTCCAAAAGCATTTTGGTATGTGCATACCATTATTATGGTATATTTATAACATTTGCTATCTCTAGCAAAGAGTTCATATAATGTGTTATTTGTTAGACACAATTCCACACAGTACATGAATGTAATTTACAGACATCTTTGAGCCGACTAGAGGGGAACTATGGAGAACTTCAAATAAGGTAGAATCCCTGAATTAATTGGTTCCTTTCTTGGTGCAATGAGTGAGTTACCTATTTGGGTTAGATTTGCTTGTAATTACATTTAGTGTTTCCTTCCTTATTCTGACCAAATCATCAATGTGCATATAATGAGGTTAGATGTTCAATGAAAAAGATAAAAGAGAAATTTTTTTCTTTATCCTAACTTCCTGTAGCCTTCGAGCATAGTTCCGGTGATTGTAATTCTTACTTTCTTGTACAAAAGCATGTTTATAGTTAGAACACAACTCAAGGAGGACAAAGGTATTACATGCAATCTGCAGACTAACCTCTTCTGGTGCGATCGTGTACATTAAATCCTCAATTCTGCGAGCAAACTGGAAAAGCCGTTCAAATTGCTGCATTTAAGAAAGTAACACAAAAACACACATAATAAGTTAACGTACAATCAAACTATAAGAGGAAATTCAATAAAAATCCAAGAGCACAATATACAAAGTACAACAATCACCAAATGAAGAGAGTAACTTACAGTGTATATGATTGTGCTGATAAAGCGTGTGCAAGCTTGCTCATAAGATTCACTTGCTTGGTGATAGAATTTCGCTAAAGTGGGCACAACATTGGCCAGGTCATACAGACTGCACATTTTCAATCAGCTGGTGAATATGATATATCAAAAATAATGAGCTACTCTCAAAGAAATTTTAGGATTATAGAGTAAAAAATATCACATGAAACATTAACATATGTGTACATCTGAAGAGGACGATACCTATTCTGAAATGCTGCATAATTTTCTAAGAGCACAATATCTTCATACTTTGAATCTGCCTGAGCGACCTTATCCAATGTCACAAACATTATGGTGACCTGTGAAACAATTTTTCTAAAACATCTCACCCTAGTCCATTGCATGCATAAATTGAGAAGAGGAAATCGATGAACTGGTAGACACATTAAATAATCAGAATTATTAGGTTACCAAGTTTCATAGAGACTACTGCAAGTTAAACCTGACCTCTTCGGACTTGTGAAAGTATGAACAAGTAAACACGATTTTACAAATTGACTATTATTCTTTTTCTGGAAGTACATTCATACTTTTTGTATAATTTTCAAAAAGTAGTCTTGGAGATACTTAAAATAGAACTCTCATTGAATTACATATAGAAATCCATAAAATTAATACCGTATAGGTATTCTTTATACAAGTCTAATGACCCAAATCTCTATTCAAGGTTTAACTAATCCGGGCTTCGAAAAATACTTATCAAAAAAAAAGATTTTTATTTGGTTCTTAAGAATGTTCTGACAAAATAATTTGAACGCACAATAAAAAATTATCTAAAATTGTGGATAACTAAATGCACAATAGAATATGATAGAAATTCACATCACCAAAACTAAAGTGTCATCGTTCTGTGTGCGTTTATTGACTATTAAGAAAACCAAAGTGATGCTTCAATGTAGCACACTAGCACTTGCATTACCAAGTTTTTAAAAAGTAAAATGAGCACATAGAATGGAGATCTCGTTCATTATTTCAATAAATTAGGAAATATATTAATGAATTTAAAACCAGTTATATCTAAGCTGAGCACTTAGATTCATATCTCAGAGAAAAAAAATAGACATAATATTAAAATGAATAAGAAAATGTTGAAGTTTTCTCATTATAGTAATCATTATCACCTAGTACATTTTTTTTCCTTATATTTCAATATGAATTATCAATGTGACTAGTACGGTTTACTATATTCACGAACTCTAACTTCACATAGAAGGTTTATAAAAATAGCTAACACATGCAATTTGTAGAAGATGAGAACGAGACTACGGAAAAATATTTTATATTCTTTTCCTTACTTCTATGTACAATGAACAATCCCTTTTATAGTACACAAGGAATACATAAAAAAGGAAAAAATAAATCTCCTGCAATCTCTAACAATCATAATATTCTATCTATAGAAACTAGAATCAACATTAATCTCCCTCAATAAATCGTAGATTTCATCACTCCCCCTCAAGTTGGATCATAGATATTAATCATATCCAACTTGCAAATGAACTCATCGAATTTCTATTTGGGTAGTCCTTTGGTGAAGACATCTGCAATCTGTGTTTGTGTAGGAACATAAGTCATGCAAATAGTTCCTTCTTCAACCTTTTCTTTAATAAAATGTCTATCCACTTCTACATGCTTAGTTCAGTCATGTTGAACTGGATTAAGAGAGATATTGATTGCCACTTTATTATCACAGAAGAACTTGATTGGTATCTTTATAGTGACATGTAGTTCTTCCATAAGCTTCTTCAGCCACAACCCCTCACATATTCCTTGTGCAACAGCTCTGAATTCGACTTCTGAGCTACTTCTGGCTACTACATTCTGTTTCTTACTTCTCCATGTTACTAGGTTTCCCATAGTTGACCTCCTATCTTCTATCGAACCTACCCAATCTGCATCTGTGAAAACTTCTACCTCTTGCCTTTCGCCCCTTTTGAAGAGCAGCCCCTTTCCTGCGGACCCCTTGAGATATGAATCTTATAGACTGCTTCAAGGTGACATTCCTTTGGAGAATGCATGTGTTGACTTACCAAGCTAACTGCAAATGCGATGTCAGGTTTGGTGTGTGATAGATAGATTAGTTTTCCAACCAGTCTCTGATAGTTGTCAATTTTTACTGGCTTTCCTCCATCTTCAACTTTCTTTCCCACATCCACTAGTGTATCACTAGGTTTACATCCAAGCATGCCAGTTTCAGATAGAAGATCAAGTACATACTTTCGCTGTGATACACTAATGCCTTTTCGGGACCTAGCTATTTCCATTCCCAAGAAATATCGCAGTGATCCCAAATCTTTTACTTCAAACTCAGTGGCAAAGCTCTTCTTTAATATTTCCATTTCCACTATATTGTCACCTGTCAGGATAATGTCATCAACATATACGATTAGAATAACTTTAGTACCATTTTCACATAGTCGAAGGAACATGGTGTGATCTGATTGTCCTTGATGATATCCCTAACTTCTCAACACTTTTGCAAATCTATCGAACCACGCTATTGGTGACTGCTTAAGTCCATATAAAGATTTTTTCAGTCTACATACCCGATTTGTTTCACTTTCCCTGCAAAAGCCTGGTAGTAGTGTCATGTATACTTCTTCATCTAACTTTCCATTCAAGAATACATTTTTGATATCTAGTTGCTGAAGTGGCCAATCCAAATTTGCTGCTAACGATAGTAGGACTCGAATTGTATTCAATTTTGCCACTAGAGCAAATGTTTCTGTATAGTCAATGCCGTAAGTTTGTGTGTATCCTTTTGCCACTAACCGAGCTTTATACCGTTCAATTGTTCCATCAGCTTTGCATTTCAAATTGAAGACCCACTTGCATCCAACAGGTTTCTTTCCTTTTGGTAAATCCATTATCACCCAAGTTTCATTTTTTTCTAATGCCCGTATTTCTTCCAAGACTGCTTCTCTCCATTTTGGAATTCCCAAGGCCTCCTGAATTGTTCTTGGGATCATAGTATTGTCAAGATGGGTAGTAAAAGCACGAAAGTTTGTAAATAAACTATTATAGGACATAAATTTTGAAATCGGGTGGAGAGTACATGACCGTGTTTGTTTTCTGAGAGCAATAGGTAATTCTATGTCAGGTACCTCCAATACTTTCTGAGGTTCTGGGGTTACCATCGGTTCTGACTCTCTTGGTACTTCAGATGTGAGATTCTCTATGTTCTTTGATTTTGGCTTTCTTGAGTAAACTAGTATCTCCTTATCATTTGGTTTCTCTGCGTCTCCCCCTGGATTCAAGTTCCCTTTTGTTAATGGCATTGGTATACTATGTTCGGATGGTGAGATAGGTACAGCGGAGGGGAAGAGGTTGAAGTCAAATAACCGATCTTCATGAACATTCTCTCCCTGAAGATAGGTTCTTCAAAAGTAAGGAGTATTCTCGAAGAAGGTAACATCAAGACTTACAAAGGTCTTTTTTGTAGAGGGGTTTTGTAGCCTTTTTGTGTAGAAGAGTATCCAATCATGACACATTTAATAGCTCGGGGATCAAGTTTCCTTCTCTGATGAGAGTGAATATGCACAAATGCAGTGCATCCAAACACCTTTAGGGATATATTAGAGCTGAGTCGGGACGTCGGGAAATATTTCTGAAGTTTTTGGAGTGGGGTCTCAAAATTTAGGACACGACTAGGCATTCGATGATTAAATAGGCGGATGTAAGGATAGGGTCCCCCCAAAAAGTCTTAGGCATGTTCATAGTAAATAATAGAGCATGGGCAACCTCTAGAAGATGTCTATTTTTTCGTTCGGCGATTCCATTTTGTTGAGGAGTGTCAACGCAGGAGTTTTGATGGATTATTCCGCGTGTTTGAAGGTAATTACCCATGATAGTGTTAAAATATTCTGTGTCATTATCAGTATGTAAAATTTAAATCTGTGTTTGGAATTGTGTTTGGATCATGGAATGGAAGTTGATGAACACGGAACGGACATCAAATTTATCTTTTAGTAGGTATACCCAACAAAGTCGAGTGTGGTCATCAATAAAAGTAACAAATCATTTTGCTTGAGTACGGTTTGAGACTCGTGAGGGACTCCACACATCACTGTGAATTGTTGTGAATGGTTTCGATGGTTTGTAAATGGATTTTGGAAACGACATTCGTTGATGTTTTGCCAACTCACAGATTTCACATTGAAAATGAACTTGCGTTTTATTCATGAAAATAGAGAGAAATACACGTTTTAAATAGTTGAAGTTCGGGTGACCTATCCTAAAATGCCATAACATAATTTCACTATTTCTAAGGACAGACGCGGAATCACAAATTTTAAATTGACACTGGTTACTCACATCAGCCTCGTCAAAGTAGTAGAGCCCTTTACTTTCCTTAGCACTGTCAATCGTTTTCCCCGATGATAGGTCCTGAAATACACAGTGAGATGGGAAAAATTTAGCGGAGCAATTGGACTTTTTGTTAGCTGACTTATAGATAGTAAATTGCACGATAAATTTAGAACATGAAGCACTGGGTTTAAAGTGATAGAATCAGAGATTTGGATACTCCCTTTTCGTGCAACAGTTGATAGGGAACCATCGGCAATTTTAACCTTAAGATTACTGGCACACATTGTATAAGAAGAGAATAGATGGTAGGAGTTAGTCATGTGATCAGAAGCTCCTGAGTCAATGATCCAGGGTGTTGTGGATTGAGTAGTGGATTTCAAAGCATTCAAAAAGTTACCTCTGTGAGCTAAAGAGCCTGAAGGATTATAGTTATTAGCCTGAGTTGAGGGTTGGAGGCTAGAAAACATTTTGTAGAGTTGCTCCATTTGCTCCGAGTTAAATGCCCCATTGGACTCTTTGGATTTTCCTGTTGAATACTCAATAGACGCTTGATATCCCCGATTTCTGTGACTTTGCCTCGGTTTCCAATCTGCTGGTTTTCCATGTAGATCCCAACACGTGTCCTCCTTATGTCCCGTTTTCCGACAGTATTCACACCAGGTCGACCTTTTTATTGTTTTGAGTTTGGCCCACTAGTTGACCCTTTTGAATAAAAGCCCACTACTCTAGGCCCAATATTAGAGTAATTGGGCCCATCATTAATTTTGCCCTCTTTGTGAAAATAAGGTGGCCCATCTTTAACATTTTGAGGAGGCCCATTAACTTGTGACCCATGACCCATCACATTTAGGCCAGAAGCTTCGAGCCCAATCTCAGCAGCCACACCACTGATCCCGTTCATCATCACTTTCCGACGATTTTCTTCTCTCCTAACTTCGGCGAAGACTTCTCGCGGCGACGATAAGGGTTTTTGATTGAGTATCCTACCTCGAACATCATCCAATTCACGATTAAGCCCAGCCAGAAATTTAAAAACCTTTTCATTCTCCAATTTCTTCCTGTAGTACACGCTGTCCTCTGGGCACTTCCATTTTTCTTCAATTCGAGTCTAGTTCTTGCCATAAAGCCGTCATCTCAAGGTAATAATCAATTACCTCGTGTTCTCCTTGCTTGATTTGCCACAGCCTAGATTTAATTTCGAAAATTTGGGAAAAATTTTCAGCGTTGGGAGTACATCTCTCTCATGGCTTCCTAGACGTTCTTCGCGGTGGGTAAGATCAGGTACGTTTTTCCAATTGCTGGTTTCATGGAATTGACGAGCTACGCAGTCACCATGGAGTTCTCCGATCGCCATTTTCGAAGAAGAACAGTGTCTGTTGAGGTTGGCATTTTCGTCTCACCTGTGAGGTACCCAAGTTTTCCTTTTCCATCCACTATTAGTTTGATTGACTGTGCCCATTCTCTGTAATTCTTCCCGTCTAATTTCTCTATCGTGAGGAATAGGAATTTTCAATTCCTCCACTCACAGCAGAGGTGATTTCTGCATCGCTATTAACAGACTCAGATGTCATTGAGCCCCTGTTATTGGCTGTAGTGTCTGTCATCTTCCTCGCTCTGATACCATATAGAAGATGAGAACGAGACTAGGGAAATATATTTTATATTCTTTTTCCTTACTTCTATGTACAATGAACAAGCTCTTTTATAGTACACAAGGAATACATAAAAAAGGAAAAAATAAATCTCCTACAATCTCTAACAATCATAATATTCTATCTATAGAAACTAGAATCAACATTAATCTCCCTCAATAAATCGTGGATTTCATCACAATTCATGTAAACATTAAAAAAAGAGAGATAAATTAGGTGATGCCGGACAGATCAATCCATAAATTATTCTCATGCAACAATAGACCTACTACCTTCAAACATAATTTTGTCAATGTGTTCTTTATTATTTCCTTTTCCTAGTTTTAGAACTTTCGTTCTTAGTTTACTTTCTGTTAGAATTAGAAACTATAGTCCTATTTTCAGGGGTGGGGCAAGAATCTATTTAATTAGTGGGAGCATAATATAAATAAAAATAAAATTTTAAAACAAGATAATAAGACGTATTAGAAGTATTATATTTTTTTGGTTTATTAAAATTATTCCGTATGATTTTTCATAATTTGAAATAGTTGTATGATGATAGGATTACACCCTCTGACCTTATTTAAAACAAATCAAAACATTCAGCGAGTCAAAATCAGCAAATCACCCCTACATAGGTGTTACATAAAAAAAATAATTTAAATCTTGTTTGTGTTGTCGAATACATTTAGAATCTTATTTGTATTGTTCAATACTGTCTATCAACCATGTCTTAATTCTTTTTAGTACAATAATAAACAATTTAGATGATTAGTCACGTTTAATGTCAATACAAACATTTCATTAAAAATTCAAAATATCTTGCTAACTCATTAGCCCACTTAAATTTAATCACAGCACAATTTAAGTACATAGCTTGAAATTAAATAGAGCTAATCATTTTTGTCCTGATGCAACTACAGAACATCAATTCATTTCTAGGAGTCAATCAAAAGAAAAAAAACTCTATATATGATACTATCGAAAGGATTAAAATTAATTTACCACATATATACTTATTTTTCCTTATTACAGTCTTTATTGTCATACAAAATTCACTTGGCCACATCAAGAGAATGATCATGAGAGAGAGAGAGAGACTCACAAGTTTTGCATAGGCCTGATCGACTAAATCCCTTGACTGCCCCTGGATGTACTGCTCCATACGGGTTGCAAGAGTGGCAAATCTATTTAAAAGTAATGTAACCCAATAATTGATGCATAAAGATAAAGAAATGTGAAAAACAACCGGGACATGCTCTTCATACTGTCGTGTGTAAAGACAATCTTTAGGAAACATGGGAACAAATGCTCCCGTTAATAACTTATCAAAATACACTATACCAATAACAGTCAATTGATGCCCAGAGGTATGGATCAGCTCTCCTCCATTGAATAGGCCCTAGGCAGAAAATTTTGAAAACCCTCTCCACCCCCACCAAACCCACAAAAGAATCTAAAACTGCCGTTATAAACACAATAAATGTTCTACTATTTTGAAATGCTTTAAAAGTGTACACTTTTAAACTTTTGCTCCAGCGCGACAAATCATCTGCACATGTTAACTAGACGTGGTTGCCATAAGTGCAACTGCTAATGACATAAAAATTGTACTCTGGAACTCTATAGAGGATATGTGCCCAAAATAAGCAGAATAGAATGTGAGGCTGTCCACTGAAAATCACAGAATCTATGAACATGGAAAATTATGAGTTTCCAGTGTTGCAGATTTGTTATAGTAGTAAGAAGACATCCAGAAGCACAACTTTACCTAATTACAATAGTGAACTCCAAAAATAATCTGCTGGAAATTATAGAGGAATGATCTGTTTGAACTACCAGTTTTTGGAAAGTAATGGCCTCAATTACAATGGTATTCAAGGTCAAGGGAAATGACATGGTGAATGCAACTTCACTAAAACTTGATCTAGGCTAATCTACATTGCAAGTGACCTTTCTAGTAAATAATTCGTCTCAAGGCGACTGAGTCACAAGTCTCCCATATCTGAAATGCCAGCAAAATAAAATGCATTTTACTAAATTAACAGAGGTTTTCAATTGTCACTTTGATCAATAATAACAAAATAAAAATGAAAAGCAAATAAAACATGTGAATGAACTGTAAAAGTCAGCTTTAACACCATTGACTGCAGCACCGAGATGAGAATGAACTTTCAGCTTTCAAAAGATATGCACATGTGACTATTGGAGCCTTAAATGATATTTTCAAGAGTGAAAACAGTCTGTGGCTCACTGAAAGAATCAATACTCCTCTTCTGTCAAATTTACTTTTTTGTGCAGCTGATTTTAAGTCAAATACCTCAAACGGAAGAATACCAACGCCACGAGAAGAATAACAAGTCTAATTCAATAGCATGAACATTCAGGACTACTTTACCTGGGTATATATGACAAGACTCCCGCCTGCCTTAAGTTTCGCTCATTTCTTTCAATCTGGTGGCAAGCTTCATCTACGAACTGCAATATAGAATATAATTCTAGTAGATGATTAAATTTCTCAAAATAACAAAAGTTTACTATAGATAAAATGGATTTAACTTACTCGACTGAACTGTAAAGAAATTCTGTTCTCCAGATCATCAAGTAATATACGCACATATCCTGCTGCATCAGCTTTCTGACCGGAAATATAGCGCTCTGTAATTCCGTGCATGGATATGCAACGAAGAGGATCAATCTTGTATGCCCAGTCCACCACAGCATAGAAATCCTCCTAAAATGTCAAAATTGCAGGATGAAAGGGTGAGAGGAGGATGTTTGCCATCAGAAGTGTAGAAATTATGATGTAAATCAAAGAAAATAATAACTGTAAATTTTAAATTGACGATGCCTGTATTCCATCAAGCAAATCATGAAGTGACTCATTCAGTGCCTCCAGATCTGAAGGATTTTTAACTGAAAATTGCAAAAGTGTGATGAGCAATTTCTGAGACTAACAAGAGTTAAAAAAACTTGAAGATTTACCATCTTTTATGTTATTGCCATCGATGTCCGCAATGCCCAAATCATCATCATGTTCAGTTTTGTTCCCATTGGCAAGGCCTTCAAAGCACATGAAATGCGCGAAGAAGGAACTCTGCAGTACATGAAACGAACTTTTTAAGATCCCATCAGAGGGGGGGGGGGGGGGGGGGGGGGGGGGGGGGGGGG